TCACAGCCAGCTCCAACCCCACACTGCTTGGAGCACCATTTTGTGGTGGCTTGCACACTGCTGACTGTGTACATCCCAATGCTCAACAACTCCTGGTCTTGCTCCCAGCACAACTGTAAACACTGCAAACCACACAAGTAACCCTGAGCTGGGACAGCGCCTAGCATAGATGGTTATAGCATACAGTAGACTGTAACAGTGGGGACCATTTGGATCCATGTAAAACCTAGGTTTGAGTTTCATGAAGATCAGGAACCTGTCCACTTCAACTCAGTCCCTTTCAAAATCAACCAGGATAATCACAAAAGCCTTGCATTTGAACATCAGCAAAACATGCTGCCTTCACCCACTGGAAACTCTCTACCTTGCCAAGTGATATGGATTTGGCTCCAAACATCTAGGTCATTCTTATGCCTTTTTTTTTACAGGAACTCCCTCCAATCTGGTAGTGCTTTTGAGTCATATGGTACCCTGAACATAACATACCATGCCAAGAAGGGCTGTACCACAGCTTGAAACCCAGTATGCTGTGGTTCATGCTCTTCAAATCAGGGCTGGCTAATCTGTCCTCAGCCTAAGGGCGGTTTAGTCTCTCTGGCTCCTCATTTTGCTCCCATGATGCACGTCCCACAATGCTGTCTTCCTGCCTCAGTTTTCACACCCCTTTGGACTGGGTGCTCCTAGACAAGGGGCGTCTGTTCTTGCCTGGCCATCAGGGAAGGGCTGATGATGGCCCCTTCCCCTCCAAAGAGGTTTGGTGGAACAGTGACACCCACACAACACCATGATGCAGTCCTGCTGACAAGGCAGCTCGACTGCCTCCACCTGGAAACAAGGAACAACACAGCTGTGGTACCTGGCTTTTCTACACTATGAAGGAGAGGTCCCCAGTCCCATCTTGTTTGTTTACAGACAAACACTATGGAGTCTCAATGCCACACATACACCCGCAGTGATGTCTTACAGGGTCCTATCCATGTGTCCCACTCCATAGCAAGGGACTCCTCCTCTGCCATCAAGAGAAAGCCCAATCTATCAAATAGTTCTCCTCATCAAGCATATCTCTATTTTCATGGCAGAATCACAGTCACCCTGATTTACAGTAAATTTTGACTGTTTCATTAATTCCTAAACCAAACACTTAAGTTACAAATATATCTACCTGTCACTTTCCTTTCAAGTTCCTGGGCTATAAATCTCAGAAAGATATCAAGTTTGTTCTGCCAGCTTGTACTTTATAAAGGAATACCGCTTACTGTTTGGCTTCCCTTGTTTCCTGTAGGCATACACTGATAGTGATCCAGTAAACAAAATAAACCATTAGAGTGGCAAGACTGACGAGGTGCTGGACCTCCTGCAGTATATTCTGCAGAGCAGTGGCAGTATGGCAACCAAGTTATATGGCTGGGAGTAAGTCCCAGATAACAGGGCTTCCTCACCTATCACTCAATACATGAGCAGTAGCAACTTCACCAACTCCCAGTAGACTTTTAGCAAACAAGGATGGAGACTTCATGACATCACAATACCAGTAGTTTTCAGTTTCTAGTTTATAGATTCCAGTGGCACAATGGCTGTTCTTCATGGGTTGCCTTCTTGATTATCCCCTGCATGTCTATTATCATTTATACTACCTGAATATGACCTGCACTTTCCTAACAACCTATCTGTGGGCCTGCCCCAGGCTAGCTCTCCCACACCTCATTTTTTAAGTGAGAGTGACTATTCATACAGGATCTTTACTGCACAAATATCACTTTGATTTTCAAGCACTGTTAAGGAGAGCTGTTCAGGAGCATGAGATCTGGCTTGGCATAAACACAAACCAGTGTCTCTGGTGATTTCATATTTACTCTGAATTTTTCCACACCTTCCCCATTTCTCAAGTGACTGAATGCCATCTTGTCCCTTTTGCACAGGGACATATTTCAGCAGGAGCTCTGTAGCTCCTGCAGCTCTCATTCTTTTTTCCTTTGTTTATCCTATTATGTATATTCCTTTTGTTTTGAGGTTTGTAACCTCACCTCATGCTAAAGCTTCTGATCTTAATCCCCTTGTATATAGTGGAGTTGCACATATTTATCTCTCCTCAGACCTCCTATCTGTTTCCTGCCAGTCGCAGACTAGTATTCTCATCTACACCCAACTTTTCCTCTTGAGCGCAACATGTGTCTGTCTCTCATAAAGTCAGGTTTTTATCTAGTCTCTCAAGGTCACATTGACTATTTCCTCCTCCTCATTTCTGCATGACAGAAGTCTTTACCTCCTTGCAGCAAAGTATTCAAAGACAGAAGAATTTTGTTCACTGGGTACAATTACAATCACTTGCCTATGAAGTATGATCAGCACTTCCCACCAAGAAAAATCCTTGGTGATGCAAGTCACCAAGTAGCGGCAAGGAGCATCTCTCTCAGGAGTCCAAGCCACCTCCCAGGGCTTCACAGCTGGTTCCTCGCCATAGGCTGGCAAAACATCCTATTGCATAAGCCCTGATAGAATCCCTGTACCTTACTCTGCAGCATGACAGCTGCTTGAGCAGCCAGTGGTTACTGGGGGATAAGCTTCTCTCTTGCCTGGTTCTTTTGCCCTAAGCACTGACACCAGCAAACTTGGCATGCACAGGATTGAGGCATTACCTCTCCTGGAAGGTACTTCAGGAAAGCTTCATGGCTGGGCTTGCATGGCTAAGCTTTGGTAGGAAGGGGGGTGGAGGGGCAGGGAGAGGCTGCTACAGGAGTGGCTTCTATAAGAAGCTGCCAGAAGCTTCCACCATGTCCGGCAGAGCAAAGCTCTGGCAACTTCAAAGCTAGTCAAGGCTGGGCCAATTAGAAATGGTGGTAACTCCTCTGAGATAAGGTATGTAAGAAGAAAGAAAGAAAAAAAAAAAGTTACTGTGCAGTTGTAATTGCAGCCAAAGAAGAATGGGGTAAGAAAACATGAGAGGAACAAGTATGCAGACACCAAAGCCAGTGGAGAAGGAGGGAGAGGAGATGCTCCAGGCACCAGGGCTAGGATTCCTCTGTAGCCCATGGTGAAGACTATGGTGAAGCATGTATCCCTGCAGTCTGTGGAGGACAATGGGGATGTAGAGATCCCCTTCCAGTCCATGGAGGTCACCCACACTGGAGCAGGTGAATGCCTGAGAGGAGGCTGTGAACCTGCAGGAAGTCCATGGAGAGAGGAACCATGATGGAGCAGCCTGTCGTTGAAGGACTGCACAGCTGTGGACCTGTGCTGCAGAAGCTTGAGGAGTGCTGCTGTCCATAGGATGGACTCACACTGCAGCAGTTTGCAAAGAGCTGCTGCTCATGAGATGGACTCACATTGGAGAAGTTCACAGAGAACTGTCTCCTGGGAGAGGGACCCCCACAGTGGAGCAGGGGAATGACTCCTCTCCCTAAGCAGCAGGAGAAACAACCCCCATTCCCAGTCTCCCCACATAACAGATAGGAAGTAATGCTGGGGGAATGGTGTTTTTAAGGTTTTATTTTATTTCTCATTATCCCACTCCAATTCTGTTAGCAAGAAAATCAAGTAATATCTCTAATTTGAGCCTATTTTGCCTGTGATGGTATTTGATGAGTGCTCTCTTCCAGTCCTCAACTCAGGAACCCTTTGTTATATTCTCTCTCCCACGTCAAGCTGCGGAAGGGAGTCCGAGTGGCTTTGGTGGGTGCCTGGCATTCAGCCAGCATTAACCCACTACACCCTTCTTAAGCAATTGCTCCACAGGGACATGTGAAAACTGAAACCATGCATGAATTCAAGAACAGTGGCAAAATGGGTCTATGCTTAGAAAGCAGCATCCCTGGAGACTGTGCTTAGTGGCACATAGAAAAAACCCTCCTTCGCATACTGGTAAAGAAGCTTGGCACTAGCAGGGAAGGGCCCACCAGCCTGGCTCTCTCATCCAGCAGCAAACACCCAGAATGCAAACTGGAAAGCTTAGAGGGAACTTCCTTCCCTTGTGGGCACTGAGGGACAAGCTGCCAAGGTACCGCATGAGCTTCCACAGGAGCAGCCTCAATGTTGCTCCTGAAACAGGAACATCTACTTCAAATCCTGGCACTAGCACCTTTCCTGTAACAGATAAAGGCTGATTCTTTTCCAAGGTGTACTTAAGCAGACTGTGGCTTCAAGTGTTTACAATTTGCAGGCTGGGGATGTTCTCCCCTCTTTCCACCTTCCTTGAAGCATTCCTAAGCTAGTGCCTGCCTTGCAGAGTTGGTCTACAAAGGACCCACAGAACAGCTGAACACCAAAGGTCAAGGTAATCACAGCCCTGCGGCAAGCAAAACTGAGCTCCCTTTACGACTTCACGCTGAGTTGTATAGAGAATTAGCAGCAACAGCAGAAGGAGGAAAGTCTTCAATTGCTCCTCAACAACAGCAGGTATCAGCACAAGGATCTCACAGCAAGAAGTCTGGATGTGGCCAGCAAGCCAGGACAGTTATAGGAGACCATCTAGAAATTTGCTTTCTGCGTCTGCTGGGGAAATCTCAGTAGGGTCAGAGCTCCAGCAACAGCAGCACAGCCCAACCCACGGTACCAGGGCTACACAAAGGTGTGGCAGGGCACCCAGTAAAACCAAGTGAAGCAGAGCAACCTTGGACACAAACATGTGCAAATTAGGACAACTGTGCCACTGGAAAAACCTTGACACCTTACAGCATAAGGTTCCCCTTGTGCACTTGTGCAATCTGTCCCAGCAGCTACTGAACTCCAGTAAGAGAGACAGATGTTATGAGAGACCAGTTTTTAGCTTCTGCTGGGCCCTGAATAAATAAAGGTCACAGTAGAGGTAGATGGACATTAAACAGAGCATTGAGACTGTCCTTGCTCCAAAGCCCAAGAGATCTGTTGCACCCTGCATAGCACATCAGGACCCAGAGATGTCCCAATTCCTCCTCTACATGACATTTGCTCTGATGCTGCCAGAGAGATCTAACCTGGAGACAGGTACTCAATTTTGCTGGGAAAAATGAGGGTTGAAGACCTACCTCTTCTTGAGTTTTCAGGGCAGCTCTACTTGCTTTTGACTGCTGGGGCTGGGGGTCTGCAGGCAGGAGTCACTGGCATGCACCAGGCTGGGCTCTCAGCCAGCCACTAGTACTTGAGAGATGCTGATTGGGCTCTTCTTTTCAATGGTTTGGGCTTGGCCAGAGGAGCTGGGCCTGGCTTGGGAACACAGTGAACAAAGTATCAGTTGTGTGCTGTGCACCGAGATCCAGCAGAGATCAAGGAACATTGAAGTGGCACTTCAAGGTAAGCAGCCCGGCTCCCAGACCCACTGATAAAGGTGTGCGAGATAAAGTGGCTGTTTGGGCTTGGAGGAGGGCACTGAATTCCTGGGTAAGACGTGGCAGTGTGAGCCTCATGTCATCCAGGCTCTATCTCAATGCTAGGGCAAACACAGAAATAGCACTTTAACTGGATGAAGTTGCCCCGAGTCACTGTTTATCCATGGAGCACAGCTCCACACAAGCAAATATCAAAGCTTATGAGAGTCCAGTAAAGACTGCAGTCTAGTACCTGGGCTCCTCTTGCCCACAGCCCCAGCTCAAGCCAGGATGCTTGCATTTATTAAGACCACCAAAATCCTAACTTGATATGAAGGAAATGGCTTGGAGGTCACCTCAAAAAACAATGTGGAGCACATCAAACACTGAAAAAGGCATTCCTGCCTTCACCTCTCTGCTGGAGGTGAAAGCAGGAAGGGTGCTCCAGCCCAGGCAGACCAGTATTACAAAGAAGGACTAAGACCAGAGACCTCTCAGCCCCCTCAGGCATGCCAGCCTGAGGCACAGACTTTACTGGGCTCTGCTGCTCCAGTCTGTTGCACTGAAAGGAAAACAGACATGGGTGCATTCCATGGGCTTGAGTTTGGAGAACATCCAGGAGCAGCTAAGCATCACAGCCTGGAGCTGCTGTAAGGCAGCTTGCACACCTGGAGGCTGCTTTCCATGGAAAGCACTGCCTTAAAAAGAGTGCAAATCCGTGGTGAACAGCCTGATGGGATCTGCAGCAGTTAGCTCTGAAAGAGACATGCTCAGAAGAGTTGTGCTATTCCCATGCCATCACATCTGCTGCCCTGCTAAGCCCTTCTACCTCAATCCTTTTCTTGCCATATTTCCTGAGACCATTTTTTCCTCTTAAAGCCTTTCAATCTCTGTGCTTCCACAGATGACTTCTAATGTCAAAAGAAAACAGTGTGGTGGGTCTAGACCCCAAACCAGAGGTGACACTTATCTCTGACCTCATGTCTCCATCCTTGTGTGAAGTCTTGAAGTTTGATGGTCATCCTGTACAACCCTAACCCTCGGCTGGACACAGCTACCAGCATGCAGCACAACACTGCCAGGATGCACTAAAACATGCCACAGGCTTCTACCAAGAAATCACATTCCTGACTGTTCACCTTCTATCAAAGGGGAATCTGGCTAGCTGGACTGATGTGAAGTACAGCATCACAGAGGGGGGTAGGAGGAGCCATCAAATAAAAAGGAGCCAGTGGACTCCAAAAGAATCAGGGTACCTAAAGAAAAAAAACCCTGTTCTTTGCTGGTTCACAGGGGTGAACATGCTGCTCCATATATCATTTCTGAATGGGGACAACACACCACATGTATTGCATGAAAAGAAACCATCCAAAGCAGTGTCTAAAGCATTTTCTTTATAGACAAAGTTTGCTTGGCCTTCCCAAACACATCACAGGAACAGGAGAAAACAAAAATAAACTAGTAGACTGGGGCATTCTGAAATAAATTACTAAGTTAATAACTCAGATGAGATTACCCCTTAGTATTTCTCCTAATGCAAATCTTTGGTAACTGTACAGGATAATGCTCTTAATGCTCTTTAAGATATTTCTTCAAGAATCTTCACACAAAAGAAATTACCCCTGTTCAGGAAAGCTCCCAAGTACATACTTACCTTGAAACACTTTTACTGAAGTCATCATAAGTACATGGCTAAATTAAAGTGTTTACCCAAAAATGGACAGACTTGAGTACTGTGCTCTGCTTCAAGCACTAGATGTTTTCCAAGACCATTCTCTGGACTCTGGCTATGTGCAGCAGTTACCAATCTAACGCCAGTTGGGTGCCTCAGGGTAGGGGCAGCAAAGACCAAGAAGCTTAAGTAGAATTTTTCTTTAATGATGACAAATAGATTCCTGCAGTACACTTCATAGCAACTGGTTAAATAAATGATCCTAGACCAGAATGCTTTCTTCTCTTCCACAGGAAATGGTTTTGGCAGGCTTGAGAAAGGCATGCCATTTCTCCCAATTCTGCTTCCAAATTTAATTACTTCTGCTTCTCACTGCTTCTTCAAAAATACTGCTCTCCCTTCTCTGCAAGGGGATTGAAGATCCCTTGCTGACAGAAGACATTGCTTACCTGCCTCCACTTTCCTCAAGTTAAAGTCTGTACACCTGTCATTTTTGCAAGCACACCTTTCCAGTGTGACTGTTTCCACAGCTGATGTCTCTCTGTGTGGTCTCCTAATGTATTGTGCCCAAACACCCCAAGCATAGACAGAGGGAGAGTGGTACTGCAGCCTCCTTGCTCTGCAGCACAACTCCTTTGCGTTCTTAGCCTGAGAGGCCAAAGGGTTCTATTTCAGTCACACTGTGGTCAAATATACATACATCCCAATACTCTGTTATCCTACCTTGTTCTCTCACTTCCCGTTTCCTTCTGGCACAACTGCCTCCCACAGTGCCCAAACTGTCCGCAGAGGGAAAGGAAAGTAAGGTTTGTTTTGTTTGTTGTTATATTTTATTTCTTAAAAAAAATTAAATAAACACAGTATTTTGATCATTGTCAACTGTTACAAGGAGAACTTCAGTTTTCCCATTTATATCAACAAACATTAAAACATCCTAGCTGTGCCATTTTTACACAGTACGAAACACCCGAACCTTGTTACCAGACTTGCTGTGGATCATCAGCATCAGAGCTCGCCAATCAGCTCTTGGCAAACACAAAGACACAACCTTTGTTACTTCCACTGATGTTACAGGGTATTTTGAAAAGGTCTCCTGCATTGAAGCACTCAAACTCCCTCAAGAGTAATCCCAAGCAGCTGTATGATCTAGAATTTCCTGCACTCTTACTGGGGCAGGCAACCTATAGATACAAAGGGCAGAGACAAACTATGTTAATGCATAATGGGGCAGAGACTTCCCAACATTCGTTTTTTAGATTACGGCATGGAGAGACATGTGCTACACACTACAGATGAGGCAGAAGCCTCTTACGGTAAGTTTTGTTTTATATCAATGGATAAAGTGTAGCCACACTGCTGCATTTCCCATGCCATTCAGGCTGTTCCGGAATGCCTCTTCCAACACACCCCAATCAGCTCTGAGGAGCAAGCCCAGGAAAGCCCTAAGCAGCATTGGGTTTACATGGCTTAAAACACAACCTGGACAATGCAGAGTAAGGCCAGACAACACTGCTTATTGAGCAGCAGACTTCTCCCCAAACTAGAGAGCTTTCAGATTCAGTTTGCACTTTGCAATTCACCACCACCACCCTCCCTAGAGCTCACAGGGAAGTCTGCTGCTCCTTTCCCCAGTCACCCTCACATTTAGTATGTGGGAAGGCTGCAAAGTCAGCTGTCCCCTGCCTAAGACCATCCAGGCATACCAACTTACAGCTCCTCCTTGAATCACAGCCTCCTGAGGAGGGTACATCACAACTCCTCCCTACACTGCTGGTGCTGGGAACATACATCCCAGGCCAGCCTCAAGAGGGGACAGTGCCCACCTGCCCCCAGAGCAAATCTGACAGCTGCACTTAGTCCTCCAGGGCCTGAAACAGGAAAGCACATGAGTGCAGGAGAGCAGCAACTCCTCCAGCCTCCTGTCCTGGGTGTCCCTGCTATTTCTGCCCTGCCCACTTACTTGTTTATGCCCAAGACCTGCCACAGTAATCCTGCCACAGCTCTGTGAGTGAGGAGGCTGGAATTTCACAACTGGCACTCTGCCCTCTGCTTTTACCATGTGACAGGTATCCCAGTTAAAGTCTTCAAGAATCCCCACATACAGAAATCAGGTCTCTACTGAGGCTGTGGTGCCAGCCATGGCTGCTGGGGACTGACTGCCAAGTCTGGGTGGCAGGGACATGTCCTGTCAGAGTCAATGCTGGGAGCTCTGGGATCAACTCTGCCACATGTATCTCTGCTGGACTCCGCTTCATGCATTCACACACTGGGCATGGGCGTGTGACTCATTTACTGCTGCTCATCAGAAATCCACAGCCCCAGCGATGTTTTAGGGTCAACGCTTGCTCTCCAAGTGGCACAGGCACAAGGATGTGTATGTGTGACCCCTCAGCAACCAAAGAGAGATACCTTGCTTGGTGTCTTCCACCCAGTAACCCAGTGCACACTGCAAAGCATCCCAGGGCAGTTACCTGCTCATCTTAGAGAATCACACAGATACTGGCTATACACCTTCTCCTGAGTCAGGGACCATCTCAAATGGAAGCTGACAGCTACCAAGCTCCAAGTTTTACTGCACTGCTGCCAACCAGCAATACTTTAGTCCCTACATGAAACACCTGCAGACCCTCAGGGCTAAGTGTAGCCCAACACAGCCACTTGCATCTCACTCCTTCCTCCTGAATCCTACAGGCTCTCAAGTCTCCTATCTAATACCAATCTACACATCACAGATTCACAGAATCGTTAATGTTAGGAAAGACCTCCAAGATCATCAAGTCCAACTGTTAACCCAGCACTGCTGTGTCCACCACTAAGCCATACACCCAGGTGGCACATCCACATGGTTTTTGAATGCTTCCAAGGATGGGGATTCCACTGTATCTCTGGACATCTTGTTCCAATGCCTGGCCACTCTTTCAGTGAAGAAATTCTTTCTAATATTTAACTTAAACTTCCTCAGATGCAACTTAAAGACATGTCCCTAAGTCCTATCACTTGTTAGGTGAGAGAAGCCAGATGCTCCTCATCTGGCAACAACCTCCTTTCAGGTGGGTACATATGTCCCCCCCTTAGCCTCCTTTTCTCCAGGTTAAACATCTCCAGCTCCCTCAGCCACTCTTCATTAGATTTGTGCTCTGGATCCCTCACCAGTTCCACTGCCCTTCTCTGGACATGCTCCAGCAGCTCAACATCCTTGTAGTGAGAAGCCCAGCAGGGCTGGTAGG